ATTTTTTGTTGAACCACCAACTGTTCCTTGTACATCTTCGGTGCCTCAAACTTCAAATGTTCAACCTTCAAGAAGATACGTGCCTTTTACTGAGAAGCTTCAAACTCTAGGGTGGGATAGAGTTAAAATTCAGGAACCTTATCTTGAGGACTTGTACACTGCAATTTTTGTTCGTCACCGAAAAGCTTTAAGTTATGATAAAGTCTTGGGTATTCGTAAAGAAGACATTGAATACCACAAAGAATACAAGTACTTCCTTAAAGACAAACGTCAACCCATTCACTTTGTATGAACAAAGCACCAGATTATCTCGATAAAGAAGGTGGAAGCCAGAAAACTTGTAAGAGTATGGTATCCAGTTTTCTATGTCACAAGGCAAGATGGTAAAGAATGGAACTTTAGTAAAGTTGATTTTCCTAATATGTACTTGGAAGACCTAGAGTTTATGTATCATGATACCAGAAACCAGACTGTCAGATTGAAAGGAATCATCATAGGATTAGAAGCTATCAAAAGGTTTCTCAAATGTTAGAACAAACTATATTCAGTTATAAATGTTCAAATGGGCTATGAAAGTAACCAAAAGCATGTTAATATGAAAAGGCCGAATCAAGATTTGACATTGATGGTTATCCTTTGTATATGATTCTTGAAGATCTAGAGTTTGATGTGATTTATGAAAACTCTGAGGGTTCCAAAAAGTTTTAGTGAACTCAAACAGTACAGTGATGGAACAATCAAATTTATAAAGAAGCAACTTGAATTGAAGAAAGCTCAAGATGACAAAGTGTCGGTATCTAACAGGTTGAATATAAGAGAAAGGTTCTTACTTCTTAAAGCTTTGAAGTTAATTGATGAAAATATTTAGTACATGAATGCTATTAGAAGGTTTGAGATGCATCTGGGATTTAGACGTTCCAGATTTTCTATTTCTAGAGCTTGAATCCAAAGGGGGAGAATGTTGGGTTCAACACTTTGTGCTAAAATGTTATATTCAATCTTTTTATTCCCTTGTACTTTCCTTGTATAAATAGGTTGGTATCTTTGTAATCTTGTAAAAAATTTAGTAGATTTGTAATCATACCTTGGATTGTAATCTTTGAAATTTTTTAATACAAAGAAACCTTTGAAGAAATTCTCTCTTTCTACTCTAATCTGCCATTGACCCATTGTTGAATTCTTGAATCTTGATGTTCATGTGTTTGATTGATTAAATCCGGGATTAAAGTATCCTCGTCATCTGAATTCAGACCATCAAAGTCACTGGCTATGAAGCAAATGTGCACGTTTGCATCATCTTCATCGTCACTTTCAGATAGTTGTAGGCAATGATCATCCTCAGCCATCAGTGCCTTTCCTGCTTTCTTCTACCTAGCCAGGAGCATCTGTAATAGCTCGAGTCCCTCACAACAGGCTTCCAACATTCTTTTGCAAAGTGTCTAATCCTTCCACTATTATAGCATTTTTAAAGCTCCTCCGTCTTCATCTCCACTGTCTTCTTCTTGTACTCTGGTTTCCTTAAACTGGAAGAACTCTCAGCTTGTTGGAAGATGGCTTATTGTAGAATTTCTTTGGGAAGGCCTTTGTCAGAAGAATCATCTTCTGTTTGATGTCATTCAACACTGAGTCTGAACCACTATCCACCTTTTCAGTGTAGGACTCTTCTCTAACTTCTCTTTCCATTCTTGAGCTTCTATGGGAATATCTCTGGCTTTTATCGGCAGCAAGGGCTAATGGATCCACTGATGAATTTTCAATCTTCTTATTGCCTTCTATCAGCTCCAAGACCTCTTCCTTATTTTGCAAAAGTGTTTCATATATGACATGAATGTCCAGTTCTGACAATGACTTGTTCTTAATGATTTGAGATGCAAATCTCTTCCATTCAGGCTGAAGATTGCTTAGAAACTTCACATTGTTTTCAATTAAGATCTTCCGTGTTCCATTCTTCCCCAACTCATTCAGCAGATTACAAGACCTCTCATAGACTGACTCTAGCATCTCACCTTCTTTAGCTTTAAAGTTCTCATAGCTCTTGATGTAATTAGTCAACTTGATCTGAGCACCGAAACTAATCCCCATTATCTGCTTCTCAATCTGATCCCACATTGTTTTTCCACTCTCTTTTTGACTATCTATACTAGTATAGATATCATTAGGTAACCATAACAGAATGTAGGATCTAATCAGCCATTTAGCATTAACGCATGCTTTCTCTATTTCAGTCATTAAAGCATACTCCCTAGGCACTTGTTGTTGTAATAGTATCGGAAGATTGACATTAGGGGAAACAGGTATAGTGTCCATGAAGACTGTTGGTCCTTCCTTTAGAGGTTCTCTCATTAGAGCACCCAGCCTTTGTCTGTCTATGAAGTCGAGGAATCTGTCTTTCCATTGAGGGTAATCACCTTTGAACAAGACTAGAGGTTTTGTATTCCAATTATCTGCTTCTCAATCTGATCCCACATTGTTTTTCCACTCACTTTTTGACTATCTATACTAGTATAGATATCATTAGGTAACCCTTACAGAATGTAGGATCTAATCAGCCATTTAGCATTAATGCGTGCTTTCTCTATTTCAGTCATTAAAGCATACTCCCTAGGCACTTGCTGTTGTACTAGTATCGGAAGATTGACATTAAGGGAAATAGGTATAGTGTCCATGAAGACTGTTGGTCCTTCCTTTAGAGGTTCTCCCATTAGAGCACCCAGCCTTTGTATGTCTATGAAGTCGAGGAATCTGTCTTTCCATTGAGGGTAATCACCTTTGAACCAGACTAGAGGTTTTGTATTCGAACCTATTGCCATGGCTTTTCTTGACGACATTGTTCTAAACTATCAAAGATCATAGATCAACTGTTTGAACTATTTCAGAAAACAAACTCAGAAATCAAAAGTGAACAAGTTTGTCGTGTCAAACTGTTTATCGCACCCCACTTGAAATGTTTATCACACCCAAAAACTTTGTCGCATTCAACTACTTGTCACACCTAAACTTGTAGCACCCAAACTTGTTGCATTCAATAGGTTGTGAACAATAACTTATCACATTGAACTGATATGATAACTAGAAGTTGTCGGGTGTTAAACATGCGAAGACCAAAGGTTGTCGGGTTTTAAGCATGCGAAGACTAAAGGTTGTCGGGTCTTAAAGATGCGAGGAACCAAGGTTGTCGGGTCTTAAAGATGCGAGGACCCAAGGTTGTTGAGTCCTAAGGATGCAAGGACTTGATGTTGTCGGGTCTTTATAATGCGATAACAATAACTTATTGCATGAAACATATGCCATAACTAAGAATAATGCAATGCGACAACTATGCAGATCTGGAATTTTTTCAACAGATTTCGGTATTCTACTTCCAAATAATCTAGATCCGTTCAATCATGATATGTAGAATCGAAATTAAAGCCAATTAACTTTAATTCTTGAGAAACTACGCAGAATTGAATAAAAAAATATCAAAGTTCAAACTTTAAAGAACTCACAGTTGACATTGAGAATTCGATTCTAAAACAACCTTCCAAGGTTGATCTTCTGCTTGATACCAATTGTTAAACCCAAATTTGATGCGTAGAACAATGATTAACACACAAAACAATATTGATCACAAGAAGTTGGATGTTGTATTGATAAGAATTGTGAATATAGAGAATAAGCTTGAAAGTACGACTACAATGATTAATTGACCTAATCTAGAAAATAGGGAACTATTTATACCTTTAAAGGTATTTACATATTAAGCCCCCTACTTTAATACAACTGAACTATAAACCTAACATGGTGAGAAATAGGAGGGGGGGGGCTCCTCTACCTACTCGACAACCATGCAATAGGCCTCGACTCTCAACACTGATAGACCCTTCCAAGAAGAAGATGAATAGGTACAAAGAAAGTGGATCACCTTGCCTAAGACCACACTCAGGAGTGATAGGACCCATAATCTTATGATTCACTCGGACAAAATACCTAACAGAAGTTACACAAACCATGATCATGATCATCCATTGAGTTGAGAAACCCAATTTTAGAATCACTTGCCCCAAGTAGTTCCAGTCCAATATGTCATAAGTTTTACTAATATCAATTTTCAAGGTTGCCTCCTCATTTTTCTTCTCCATATTTCTCTTCATACTATGCAGTACCTCAAAAACTAAAAGAACGTTATCCATGATCAACCTCCCTTTGATGAAGGCAGACTGGTTTTCGGATACTACTTTGGAAGAACACCCTTGAGGCGGTTTGGCAAAACCTTTGTTACAACTTTGAGGATTACATTGCATAGGCTATTGGTCGTAAATCCTTCATGGTTTCTGGCTCATTGCACTTCGGGATAAGGGTGATAGTTGTATCATTAACGCCAATTGAAAGAATCCCTTGACGTTGCCGGCTAATCCCTGCAACAAAAACTTCATCCCATAAGATAGGCCAGAACATTTGAAAGAACCTTGGGTTAAAAACCATGGGTCCTGGGATTTATCGGGGTGTACTTGGAACACGCTTTAAACACATCTTTCCTTAATGTGGGGCTACCAAGCAAAACATTGTCCAAGACACCTTTAGATGTACAAGGTCAATCATTCTTGTTGAAAATCCGTAAAATGACAATAAAACTAAGGTTTACCAAACGTTTATCCGAGCAAGAGCTTACCAAGTCACTTTACTTTACTGAATGAATATGACAAAGACTAAAAATTTTACCCGATAAGAGCGAATGCAAGAATCGAGAGTCTTACCCAGTAGGTGAAGACGAGGACTCTTACCATGGTTAACGCTTACAGGGATAAATTGTTGCATACAATGTTTTTTAGTGAATAAAATCTTGGCCGAAAAGTAAACAATAGTGTTGAATTTTACCGATAAGAATGTTTATTAAATATAAAAATACATGAAGTCATAGATATACCATAAAATAATTTATAAACTCATGATCAACCATTGAGACAGATTTGGTTCAAATATGATCTAACAAGTAAGCAGGTCTGCCAGTTGAGGGTTTTAGCGACAAATTGATCCACGACAACGCAGCAGCAGAGATTCTGGTCTCGTAGTCGGTGCTTGGTGGCACCACAAGTAAGCATAACCCAAATCCAAAGGAATCATTAAAGAAACATGGAGAAATCGCTTTCATCGCCGTCGTCGATGTCGACACCAGAAGGCTCGACGGAGCTTCAGTGTGTGGGTGAACTGGAAATCGTCAAAGCAAAACCACCAGTTGGTTTTCTCTGCGGTTCTATACCTGTTCCTACTGATAAAGCTTTCACCGCCTTTGATTCTGCTCTCGTTCCGTCGGCCCCAGCGTAAGAAACGCAATCAATCGAATTGGAACCCCTTTTTTAGTTGCAATTGCATGATTGATGTTAGTTTTAACGGCTATTTTAATTGTTTTTAGGGAAGGAGCACCGAGGTACCGGGTGATTCCGACTGAGACTAATCTCAAAACTCTGCCATTTCGGCCAAATATTCCGGACAAGGTTCTTCCAATGGTTGCCGCTCATACGAGGACCGGTGGAGGTACAACTTTCCTTGGCTTATTTGTTCAAATCATTGATAGCATCCGTGCCTGTTAGGATTATGATTTTGTGAAATGTGGCAAGTCCTTGGTAGACACGATTTGGTCAATTATGTTGGTTATTGGACTGATTTGCTACTTTGAGCACTTACAATGAAGAATATAGTATAAATTATGCATAAATTCTATCCTTATGAAGAAAATTGTTAATGCAAGTTAGAGTGTTCAAGTGGTTGTATGAAATTACCTACCATATTGTTTCTCCGTCACCTTGTTGATATTGTCTATGGTTGTTTTTTTGGAGGCATGCAATCTTCCAATTCTGGACAATATACCTTCCTCAGAAATTGTTTAGCCTGTTAATTCATTAGAAATATGCAGTTAATAAAGTGGTAGATGATCTGAATTTTGCACCAATTGAACCACTTGACCATTTGCAATTCTTTATCATCTTTGACATATTGCTAGACTACATGCGCTGGTGGCATTGCAGGGCTGTTCAGAAAAGAAGTGCTAGGCCAAACAAGTATACACAGCCTAACGCTGTCCTCAACAAGTAATTAAGTGGTCAAAGTACGGATATTGTACCCACAAGGAGTTAGTTCAAACATGCAAGTGTGAAATCAGCTACTTAACACTTCAATAGGTTGGTTGGGTGCAAAAATAAATAGCATAAAGTTCTTGCACTTAATAATATGAAACACATGGATATGGAAATATCCTTGAGTTAAATTACCGCGTACAGGCTGCTGCTGCAGTCTTGATCATTGTTAGTAGAATTTGAATATTGAACCTTCGGACTCAATGATGACAAGCTGTTTTCTTGTTAAAGCATCGTATCTATCCTTCTATAAAGATGACTCGAGAAAGAGAATACGGTACACAATTATTTCAATTTTGCAAGACATACAACTCGTGGCACCAACTTGCTCTTAGCTAAAGTTAGGCTGTTAGCCACCGCTAGACGCTGCAACATGTCTGTGACTTGCAGTGTCAACCGCTAACATAACCTTCACTCTCTGGAATCAATACACACTATAACTTGTCTCGAGTATCTGAGACGCAATGCCACACTATAGCCTAGTTTAGGTGAGAGCATATGTACATGTCTTGTACATAATTTCAAGTGCTTTGCTATACATGGAAACTGCATATGTCTATGCTAGTTATCTTTAAACTATTACCTTGCATCATTCAAGCTATTTTCCACCTCATTCAAGTTATGTCTAAGCCTGAATGTGGCTTTATACCTCACTAATGATAGCTAGTCCTTGGTGGATGTTTGACGTTGTGTACCACTTGAACAAACAACTGAAAATGGCGAATCAGACCTGACACTTCTTACGCTGCAGCGTCCCTCAAGGTTCTTTCATATCCAAGTATGAGGGTATTAGCCCATAAATGTAGTGAATAAAACACCAACAAGGTAAGAAGGATCCATTCCCCTTACTGACAAAATGAAAGTTAATACGCAGGAAATATGAAGACGGTAAAGCGTTTTATGGAAATACAAAGCAGGAAACTGATATACACTGGAACAAACTGGTCGGCTGATTGTATTGCAACGAACTAATCAAAGGATTCCCAGACTTTCAAGAGGTCTGGAATCTCTCCCACAGAGCTTATGCTCACTTACAATTGACAAAAACTGAATGAATGCTCTAACAAACTTTCTCAACTACTTAAGYWATACGCTCCCTTATTCAGAATAGGAAAAGTACCAAACTACCCCTCTTCCTATATTTATTATAACGAGACTAAACAACACACAATTAGTCCCTTCTCCTGTATGTGAACCATAAAGGAGGTTTATCAATACTCCCCCCCCAAAAAAAAATTTCACCTTGTCCTCAAGATGACTGTTAGGGAACTGATGTAGTAACGGCTCCAAAATTTCCCAAGACACTTCAAACTCCGACATTCCTTCCTATTTCACCAATACTTCAAACTGCCCCACATCACCCTTCGTCAATGGTCTCATATCCAAGATATCCTCAAGCACAGCTTGCAACACCAAATCTTCCGAAATCTGAGTAGGAAAATCTTGAGATGAATTGCAATTTCCCACAGCTTTCCGTAACTGAGAAACATGGAAAACCGGATGGATTTTTGCTGTATTCGGTAAATCCAATCGGTATGCCACCTTCCCAATCTGTTCCAACACTCTATAGGGGTAGGGGCCATAAAATCGAGCTAACAACTTAGGACTATTTCTCATAACCGGCGATTTCTGTCGATACGGTCTTAATTTCTAAAAGACCCAATCCCCTACCAAGAATATTACCTCCTTACGTTTCAAATCAACCTTTTGTTTCATATGAAATTGCGCTTTAAGCAGATGCAATTTCACCTTATCCAGAATTTCATCTCTATCGATCAGCTCCTGATCCACTGACTGCAGCTTCAATGAAGCCGTTTTATAACGGAGCAAAGGGGGAGGATCTCTTCCGTACAACACCTTAAACGGAGACTCCTTAAGAGCTGTATGGTAGGCTGTGTTATACGATAGTTCAGTCCATGGAAGCCATTTGCACCATTGTTTAGGCGTAGTCGACACCCAACACCTCAAATATTGCTCCAAACAACGATTTACTACCTCCGTTTGTCCATCTAACTGCAGATGATACGCTGAACTGTACTTCAACTTTGTTTCCTGTAATCGGAACAACTCTTTCCAGAAATTGCTAAGAAACACCTTATCCCGATCGGAAACCACCGATTGAGGAATGCCATGCAACTTTATGATCTCTTTAGCGAATGCTTCAGCCACCGATTGTGCATTGAAAGGGTGTTTCAAACCAACAAAATTGGCATACTTACTAAGTCTGTCCACAACTACCATAATCGCGCTCATTCTGTTCGACCGAGGCAGACCTTCGATGAAGTCCATTGAAACCTCGTCCCATACCTTTTCAGGCAATGATAAAGGTTGCAACAAACCAGCTGGGCTGCCACTAAGACTTTTATTCCTTTCACAAACATCACATTTTTTAACCATATCAATTATTCCTTCTTCATTCCAATCCAAAAAACTTCGGATGAAATACGTTGATATGTTCGATCCTCTCCCGTATGTCCACCGATAGGAGAACCGTGAAATTCGTCAAATATCAACGGGATCATTTTAGAAAAACGAGGAATAACCAAACGTCCTTTATATAATAACAGCTCCTGCTGAATCTCAAACCCCTTATGCTCAGCTTTTCCTGATACTAGATCCTCATTTATGTGGTTCAAGAAACTATCATCAACAATCTTCTTTTTAAGATCGTCCCAATTTCTCCATTGAGGACTCCCCATATTCGCCAATTCCACTGATTCAATCTTGCGAGACAACGCGTCTGCAGCTTGATTGGAACTACGCATTTTATAGACGATGGAGAAATCATAGCCCAGCAGCTTTCTGACCCACTTCTGGTATTCCGGTTCCACAACTTGTTGCTCCAGCAGAAAACGAAGGCTCTGCTGATCCGTACGCACTACAGTTTTTTTTCCCAACAAATGCGGTCTCCATTTCTTTATTGCCAACACAATGGCCATCAATTCTTTTTCATAAACGGATTTCTCTCAGCCCCAAAGCTTGGCTAAAATATGCAATCGGCTGTTCATCTTGCATAAGAATTGCTCCCAAACCGTAACCCGAAGCATCCGTCCCGACCACGAAATCCTTAGAAAAATCAGGAAGTCTTATCACCGGGGTTGATGATAGCATTTTCTTCAATTCAACGAATGCTAACTGAGCTTCCTTCGTCCACTGAAATTGGTTCTTTTTAAGGTCGGTGAGTGGTTTGGCTAACATACTATAGCCCTTTATAAACTTTCTGTAGTAACCAGACAGCCCTAAGAATCCTCTCAATTCTGTTATCGTCTTAGGCTTTTCCCACTCTAACACTGCTGTGATTTTAGACGGATCAACTTCTACGCCTTTTTCTGAAATTACATGACCCAAATATCCCAGCCGATCACGACTAAACTCGCATTTCTTCTTATTTGCGAACAACTGATGTTGTAAAAGAACCTCCAGCACCTTCCTAAAGTGTACTTGATGTTCTTCAAGAGTTTTGCTATAGACTAAAAGTCTAAAATATCATCAAAGAAAACCAAAACGAACTTCCGCAAATATTTCTTAAAAATCTCATTCATCAAACCTTGAAACGTCGCTGGAGCAGTAACCAATCCAAAGGGCATTACCAAGAACTCGTAATGCCCTTGATGAGTTCGGAAAGCCGTTTTGTAAATGTCTCCTTCCTTCATTCGAATCTGATGGTAACCCTATTTTAAATCGAGTTTGGAAAACACCGCTGCTCCGTACAACTCATCTAACAGTTCTTCAATCACCGGAATCGGGAATTTGTCAACATTTGTCATCTTATTTAAAGCTCGATAATCGATACAAAATTGTCAACTTCCATCTTTTTTTGTTAACCAATAACACCGGACTGGAAAATGGACTCATACTCGGCTGAATACTCCTGCCTCGAGCATCTCCTTTACCAATTTTTCAATCTCGTCTTTTTGGTAGTGTGGATAACGGTACGGTCGAACATTGATTGTTCCCGTCCCTTCTTTAAAAACAATGCTGTGCTCTCTTCCCTTTTCCGGTGGTAGCCCCTGTGGCATATTGAAAACTGAGTCAAATTCCCTTAGCAATGGATCCAAAATAACATTGGATTCTGCTATCTCTCCCGATAACGCTGAACAAGTGACCAATTCAACCAGCACACCCTGTCCTTCGTGGTTGATTACTTTTCCGATAGCTTTCAACGATATCATCGATCGCCCCAATGACAGTTCTCCCCTTAATGTGACAGATCTGCCTCCGCAAGTGAACTTCATTACTTGCAATTTCCAGTTAATATAGGTTGCTCCTAACGTTTCCAACCATTGCATCCCCAAAATCACGTCACTATTACCCAATCCCAACGGAAGAAAATCTTCCCTGATTTCAATTTCTGGTAAAAACATAGTTATACCTCTGCAAATCCCATCTCCTTTCTCTATATTTCCAGATCCTAGAGTAATAGTGTATTCACCAGTGATTTCCACTTCTAAATTCTGTCGTTTAACTAAATCATTCGATATAAAATTGTGTGTTGCACCGCTGTCAACTAACACTACTACTTTCTGCTCACCAATTCTTCCCTCCATCTTCATGGTTTTAGGATAGTTAAACCAATGACAGAATTTAAATGTACCTCCACCTTGTTGCTCACTTCAACTGCATTCAAAACTTTTTCCTCCATCTCTGGTTCTGTATCAGCTAGCAAATCCTCCTGAACTAACAAAACATTCATCTCCTTTTTACACTTGTGGCCGGGAGCGTACTTTTCGTCACAGCGGTAACACAAACCCAACGCTCTCCGCTGCTGCACTTTCTGATTGGATAGATGGCGGAATTCAGATCTCGATTTATTCTTTAAAATCGGTGAATTAACGGAGCTCACTGTGCTATTTGAAGAATTATACGAAAAATTACTTTTCGAATCAGAGCCGGGATGAACTACCCAACTTGCTCTCTTGCTAGTAACAGTGGTTTTATCTCTCCCTAACACCTTGTTTTTCAAATCAATTTTTGTGGCCACCTCCATGCTTCGCTCAATGTCAATGGATTCATCAACCTCAATTCTGATTTAATAGACTCCTCCAATCCATTAATGAACTGGCTTAAGAAAATCTGCTCTGGAATTCCATCTAGTAGTGCCACAAACTCCACAAAACGCCTTCTATATTCATCAATTGATCAATCTTGCCTTACCACCAGGAATTGCTCACATAACGATCCTGCTGCCAGAGATCTGAAATGCCTCAACAATAATTGCTTCAAATCCTCCCATCTGGTAATTGGATGACGTTTATGCTCCCATTGAAACCACTTCAGTGCATCGCCTTCAAATGAAATGAACGACACATCGATTTTTTCCTTCTGACTCAATTGATTTAACGTGAAATATCGTTCCGCTCTTAAAATCCATCCGTCTGGATCCTTGCCATCGAAGATCGGAATCTCCAATTTACGCCCCTTGACTGCTAAAAATCGATTCTAATTGTTACGATTTCTGTCTCGTCGACCGGATCCCGCTGCGTCTTCCTCATCAGACGAATTCGTAGCGTTCGATTTATTGACAAAATCGTTCCTCAATTCTTCAATTTGTTGCACAATACGCTCCAAATTCCTTTCAATTGAACCAACGCTACTCTCCATATCTTCAATTCGATTGTTTGCGCTTCGCGTAGTAACATTCGTCATGCTGGACCGAAATGAACTCTGATACCAATTTGATATACACTGGAACAAACTGGTCGGCTGATTGTATTGCAACAAACTAATCAAAGGATTTCCAGACTTTCAGGAGGTCTGGAGTCTCTCCCACAGAGCTTACGCTCATTTACAATTGACAAAAACTGAATGAATGCTCTAACAAACTTTCTCAACTACTTAAGCAATATGCTCCCTTATTCAGAATAGGAAAAGTACCAAACTACCCCTCTTCCTATATTTATTATAACGAGACTAAACAACACACAATTAGTAGGTTTATCAGAAACTAGAAGTGTTTGATTATCAACTGTAGAAAGGAAACTGATCTACTCTGATCATGGAAGAGAAAGAGGATTTTTTAGTTCCCAACTTTGCCAAAATTCTAGAGGCTTTGTTTGCTTTGTCTTTGAGTTTCTTCTACAGACAGCATAGTTTTTATAGTATTCACTGCCACATCTGCTTTTGTCTGCACCTTTTCCATCAATGTCTTATCCTTTTTCTGCCTCCTTAGTCTTTTCCACTTTGTCACTAACAGCTGCTCCTCACTCCATATTGTGCCTGGCTTTGACTTATAGTAACCAAAGAACTTAAAAGATACTCAATATTCGAGATAAATAACTCTCTGTTTGGGAGTTATTAATATCCACCTAGAAAAATGGATGCATAGAATATTTTAGAGAAATATCATGTCCTTAGATTTGACCAGACTTCCTTAAAAATCAAGATGCCACTTTTCATATTCGCTAATTAGGTTAGTGATGATATGTCTGAAAAATGTGACAACTTCTACCGTATGGGTTACCATGTAGAGCCACTCTAACATCTCTTGGTTTGACAGCTTTCGGCTGAGGATGTATTCATCATTTTGTTATCATTTCATGCCTTTATTTTGGGTGGATAGCACACTCACCTTTGACTATCTTACAGGCTATACTTTTTATTTCCACAACTGTCCTCCAACATACAGGAATTTTTGAAACATGGCCATTGAAAAGTCCTTCTCATACGCATTGTATGAAATGATGATTGTAGTTATGAATCCATATCTCATTTTAGTGAATTGTGATTCATATCAAATCATAAGTTACACTTCAAAATTACTAATTCATTATGGATGCAACAATTGAATACACATATGTTCAATAATGAAAATGTTTTATGTTAGCAAACAAAATCATAGGATTATCAGATTATGTTGCCAAGTGCCATCCTGTTACTCAACATCTCTTCTTTAGATGCCAAGGAGGGGTGACCTTCTAACTTTTCTTGCTGTTCTTGGTAGATTTACCTTATGAAAGTGGCACTGTTGCATCAAATCTTAGAAAGAAAGGAGAAGCCCTTGCTGTATCTGGTTTAACAGAGTATGGAGATGAAATTGATGTCATTGCTCCAGCTGACATTCTGAAGCAAATATTTAAGATCCCATATTCCAGGGCTCGGTTGTCGATTGCAGTACATCGTATTGGACAGTCTCTCGTATTAAATACAGGGTATGTTCTATCTGCATGTGGCCGACTTCTTTTGATGTTATATCTCTTCTAAATGTCTTGGCACTTGTAAATAATTTGTTTACTGCAGACCTGATGTTGAAGAGGGAGAAAAATTGGTTAGAAGACATAAGCAGTCACAATGTTCAGAAAAATCATTATTTTGGAATTTTGCTATGCATTCTGTAAGGATGGAGGCATGTGATTGCCCATCGGCTCAAAGTTCCCAGTCAGAGGAGCAGTTGAACTCATCTTTTCTGCCTGGCAATAGGGATTCTGATACAGCTGAAGCATACCCTTCCCCATATTTTGGGCAGGACAATGACATTGGTCAAGGGGAAGGATTTAAATGTGCTGAATACCCACAAGCAAAACAAGATAGTTTCTTTTGGGGAGGGAAGAAGAACCAAAGAAACAAAGGTCGTGATGCTGTTAAAAAGGTCTCACAAGTCAAAGAGAAGACCTCAATGCAAGAGTCAGATATGTACAGAAGAATGAATCGTGATGGATTCTTAAGGGTTCTATTTTGGAAGTTCAATAATTTGCGCATGTTTCTGGGGAGTGACTTGCTTATATTTAGTAACGAGAAATATGTTGCAGTGAGCTTGCACTTATGGGATGTTTCTAGACAGGTTAGATTGCATGGCTTGACACATTTTGATGCTTATTCTCTTGTTTTAGTCTACCTGCTTATGTTTTTTTTGAATCTTTGGCAGGTTACTCCGTTGACTTGGCTTGAAGCTTGGCTCGATAATGTGATGGCAAGTGTACCTGAACTAGCCATATGTTATCATCAAAATGGGGTTGTTCAGGGATACGAGCTGCTGAAAACGGATGATATTTTTTTGTCCAAAGGAGTATCTGAAGATGGCACTCCTGCTTTTCATCCTCATATTGTCCGACAAAATGGCCATTCGGTTTTGCGGTTCCTTCAAGAAAACTGCAAGCAAGACCCTGGAGCTTATTGGGTAATTTTTTTTGTGTTAGTCTTGTCATTTTCTAGCTTCATATTATGCTAGTTTGCTGATATTTTGATTGTTTTCTGGCTGTGAACAGCTCTATAAAAATGCTGGCGAGGATAACATTCAACTTTTTGATCTTTCCGTTATTCCTAAGAGCCATGCCACCAATAATTGTGATGATGACTCTACCTTCATACCTTCTCTTATTAATAGAGGGAGAAGTGATTCCTTGCTCTCGCTAGGAACCCTACTCTACCGTGTTGCTCACAGGCTCTCACTTTCAGTGGTGGGGTGTATATTGCATTGATCTCTCTCTCCCCCCGTCTCTCTCTTGTTTGGAAAAATAGCTAATAGACAATTACATATTTCTAATACTTGTTTTCTGCTGCAGTCTTCTCATAACAGGGTAAGGTGTGCAAGGTTCTTGAAGAAATGTCTTGATTTCCTCGATCAGCCTGATCAATTGGTATCCAGCCTGTGGCAACTCTTTGTTTGATGGATGTGCCATCTTAAATATTTGTAATTATTAATCTTTAGATGAAGTATCAATCAAACTAATTATTACTGCATTATGACTAATAGGTTGTACGTGCATTTGCTCATGAACAATTTGCAAGGCTACTTCTAGACTACGATGAAGATTTAGATTTGACATCAGAAGGGCTGCCTCTGGATTCTGAAGATATTGTAGTTGATAGTGAAGAAGAGTCGTATGAATGCTTCAGTGGGATCTCTGAGTTAATAATCCATGAAAGTTTCAAAGCTAATAAGGAGGATGAATGTGGTATCGATGCTACTTCCTCAAATTATGGACCAGGTGGTTCTGTCAAGCTGCATTTGGATGATGATGCACCTGGATCCAGAAAACTTTTGGTGTCAAATGAGGCTGAATCAGGGGATGCTGTAATGCAACGAACTTGTAATTATGACACTGTTGAGTTGTCTGCTACATCTACTCCTGTGGTTCAAGCTACTGTTAATTTGATATCCTCTAAGTTGGCAGCAATACATCATGTTTCTCAAGCTATCAAGTCTCTAAGGTGGAAAAGACAGCTACAAGGCTCTGAAAGTCATGGCAGACCTGATATTGGTGCAACTTTGCAAATTGACTTCTCTGTTTGTGCCTGTGGTGATGCTGATTGCATTGAGGTTTGTGACATTCGCAAGTGGCTTCCAACATCAAAACTGGATGACAAGTTGTGGAAGCTTGTTCTTTTACTTGGAGAATCTTATCTGGCCCTTGGAGAAGCCTACATGGATGATGGTCAGTTGCATCAAGTCTTCAAGGTTGTTCGTCTAGCATGTTTGGTATATGGCTCCATGCCACAGCATCTTGAAGACAAAAAGTTTATCTCCTCAATGACTAGCAGTTTGTCATTCGAGATAGATATCCACAATAGAAAAGACGAAACTGAATCTTTAGCTGCTCATTATCTATTCTGGGCCAAAGCATGGACACTGGTTGGAGATGTGTATGTTGAATTTCATTTGAAGAGTGAAAAGGAGATCTCTGTGAAAACTGAGGAGACACCGCCTGCTAGAGAGTTAAAAATGTCGCCTGAAGTTCAGAAAGAGCTTGAGAGGCTCAAGAAAAAACTTGGAAAGTTTAAGCAGAGCTGCTCATCTTGCTCATTAGTGAACTGTAGTTGCCAGAGTGATAGGGCCAGTAGCGGCAATAGTGCAAGTAGTAGTAGTGGAAATACTCGTCCATTTAATTATGGAAGAAAGCAGGCCGAGAAGCCTGTTTCTAAGAGCTTATCCTACTCTTCACCTGGAAAGGCTGGAGATGTTAGTAATGTGATAACACAGAATATCATGGATGAAAATGAAGTGCCAAAGTCTTCTAAAGAGACTGAATCTGATTCAACAGAGCCAAAATCAAATGATGGTGGCATTTTCAGATACCTTCATCGTTGTGACCATGAAGATGCAGACCATAATCTAACTTCTGCTCTTAATTGTTATGAAGAAGGAAGAAAATGTTTGGATTGTCATCCTAGTAGTTCTGAGGAGTTACGGTCCCTTCTTAAGAAGAAAGGATGGGTCTGCAATGAATTAGGCCGAAGGAGACTGGAACGAAAAGAAATTGGCAAAGCTGAATCAGCTTTTTCTGAAGCTATCAGTTCATTTAGAAAGGTTTCCGATCACAACAACATTATCTTAATCAACTGTAATTTGGGCCATGGAAGACGAGCAGCAGCTGAGGAGATGGTTTCACAAATGGAGCATCTCAGAAACCATCCCGTGTTCAATAATGCTTACACCCAAAAGCTGGAAGCAGCAAAATCACAGTATTGTGAATCACTCAGATACTATAGAGCAGCAAAGAAAGAAGTTGATGCTGTTGGTGATGAAGCCGATGCCCTTCCAAACAATCTTAGCAATGAAGTATATACACAGTTTGCTCATACATATCTAAGGCTTGGCATGCTTCTAGCAAGAGAAAATGCAACTGCTAAAGTTTATAAATCTAAAATGGAATTTGGAAAGCATGAGATTTCAGCCAACGATGCAATTAGTGAGGCTTTGTCAATGTATGAGTCATTGGGGGACTTGCGTAGACAAGAGGCTGCATTTGCATATTTTCAGCTTGCTTGCTACCAGAGGGATTGTTGTTTGAGATTATTAGAGACGGATTTGAAGAAAAGTAATTCATCAAAAGGTGAAAATGGTATACTCCAAAGAGTCAAACAGTACTCGTCCATGGCCGAGAGGAACTGGCAGAAATCTATCCAGTTTTATAGGCCAAAAACACATCCTACAATGTACCTGACCATTTTGATAGAGAGATCAGCTTTGTCATGTAGCCTGTCTAAGTCATCTCAATCATATATGGTATGTAGACAACCCTGTTGCTGCTTTCAGTTGCAATTTTTTATGCTTATCTGGCTCGGAACTTGGAGAATAATGTTTTTTTTTGGTTTAAAAAGAAACTATTTGGGTTATTGAACATATTGCATACGAAAAATCCACTGAAGTCTGTGTGTTTAGCTGCCTGATTTATAACTACAGAGGAACACATCATAAATATATTACAGTTGTATATCATTAAATGATTTCTAGATGGTAGTCTCGAGTACTGCAGTACTTGGACAGAAATGAATTCCCCTGATCAGAACTTGGAGCCTGAATGTCCTAAATGTAATCCAATCCAGAGTAGTCAATGCAGTTGTTTCTATAGCCTTGTTCCCCTATCACTTCATTGTACATAATCTATGACGACTTGTTCTTTATGAAGGGTACACGTAAATCAGTAATATTAAAATGGTATTTTTATAGCCATATATTTGCAATCGTTAGTATTCTATTTGATAATATGATTTATAAGAATGCTATGGTCGTTTCAGATTGTAATATTTACTCTCTAATAGCTGGCAGTTGTTTAACTAATTTTTTTTTTGTGTCTGCAGATGCTGGAATTAGCTCTGAATAGTCTTCTTGAAGGACGCCATGTGCCTGTAGATAGAATAACATTGCAGAAGGACGATTGTAGCGTGTATGAAAGATTTTGGAGTCAGCTGCAGATGGTATTAAAGAGGATGCTAGCTGTGGTTCTTCCTGCAACCACAAAGAAATCTGTTGCTACTTCCCAACAGACTGCAAATGATTTGCAGTCTGGAGATGTGAAGAAACTCAAGGACCTTTACAGGTTATCTTTGAAGGAGACAGACTTCAGTCAGTTGCATGCCATCCACAGGTTGTGGGTTTCGTAAAACTAAATCAGTTTTTCAGTACAATTACGACAAAGTTACAGGTTGTAGAATTACTCAAAACATTTCCAACACAGACATAATGTGGTAAGCTTCTTTTGATTTGTTGATTTAGCAACAATTTCTAAATCCTGGAGAATGGTGCCATGCTGACTTGTAGTACTTCATGCATCTAATATTGTACCTCGTGCATATAATGTGATAAACCTGTTATGTTTGCATCGGATTCCTAAAGAATCATGTGTATATAAAGAGGTTACTGCGTTCATTTTAGTTATTTTTCTCGGGCTCTATGTAGATTACTTATTTTGCTCGTTGTGCATGACCGTCAAAGCTAGAAGTCTTCCATCAGGCCTGATTTTACATGGAATCCGACAAGAATCTTTTCATGGTATGTCATCCTTCTTGAGATGTACTCGCCCAATTAACCCTTTGATCCTTCTTTTTTCCATGGTCACCCTACTTGGTATGAACACTTGCTAACGTGTATGTAGCTTCTGGTGATTGGTTTCACGTGAACTCTGCCTCCCCCTTTTGAAATGGATTTGATCCAAAAGCCTGTAAAATGTGGAACATAAGTGTATTCGGGAGATACCATTGTATTGGTTTGTCAGTGTCCTTGCTAATGATTGAGCCCGGTTTGTGGCTCCATTGGTTTGACAATCTTATGATTTTGACACTCGATATCCACACGAAGATCATTCTATCAAGATTTGGGAAACCTGTCCTTCCAGATGCTCAGAAACACAATAATAGGGGGTTGTGTGCTTGAACTTTATCGGGAACCTGAATTGTCACTTTAGCAGAACAACCTAGTAGTGACGAGGTGATACAAGCAAGGCTAAGGTGTGTTAAGCAAGTCCACATCACCTTATTGAATAGAGGATAAAAAGATGAATTAAATATTATATCGATCTGTCACGAGTTAATTGGTGAGACGTGAATGAGACATGGAATTTGGAGACGTGTGATTTTAAACACTTAGGGGTGTTTGGTTCGTAGAATGGAATTCGATGGAATTAGAATTCATCAAATGAATTTCACTTTAAGGTAATGGAATGCAATTTGATGTAATTTGTCCATGTCTTTTGATTGCATTTGGTTGGATGGAATTGGAATGAAATTCTTAACGGAATTAGAATTTTTTGTTTCGTTCACGGAATTCAACGAGAAAATTACATAGATGACATTTCAAGAAAATCCTTTTTAGGATGGAATGATTGGGCGTAAAGCGTCTGTAGGTGGCTTTAACGTTAATAATATCTATAATATATATAGAGATTTATCATTGAATGGTCTTATCAATACACAAATGTATAACTCCCCAGGAATTTCAATTGCGCTCATATTCATCACTGTAGGAATTGGGTTCAAGCTTTCCCCAGCCCCTTCTCATCAATGGACTCCTGATGTATACAAAGGAGTGTGGTTCGTTCGATCTATTCGAAATCTTAGTGAAACACTGGATTTGTTATCTCATGTCGGCTTTTCGTGAAAAAATACCAATTAAAGTGGAGGTTATCGACAAAAAAGATTTGTCTAAGCCACTTCGTTTCTTTTTGTCCAAGTTGCTTCTTTGACGCTTCTTCTATTCTTTTCCCTGGCGCAACTGGGCCATCCTGGACTTGAACCAGAGCCTCCGGTAGCACAGCCGAGACAGCGACGGGTTCTCTGCCCCTGCGGGGATGGAGTGACAGAAGTTTTGAGAATTCAAGAGTCTATTCCACAATGTCTCAATTGGGTTATATGATGTTAGCTCTAGGTATGGGGTCTTATCGTAGTGCTTCCGAGACAGTGCCCAGATCGTTACGCCTTTCGTGCGGGAGGGAGAGAGGGAGCAGTTTTGAATAGGGATGGCAAAAAAAACCGAAATCGATGGGGAAAACCGAAAACCGAAACTTTCGGGCTGGGTTCGGGGACATTTTATCGGAGACGGGGCAAGGATCGGGGACAAATTCGGGTTTTTAACGGGGACGGGGGCGGTGATCATCGGCCCTGCCCGGCCTGATATGTGTATATATATTAATTTTAATTTATATACATATATATATATATATATATAATATCATTAAAAGAAAATAGTAACATTAAAATTTAAAAAACTTTTTATCCACTTTACTTCAACAACCTAAATAAGGCTCACGAAAAAATCTAGTTTATTTGTCTAATTGTGAAATCGTGATTTTAATTGTATGATGTTTGAAGTTCTGTTTAGTTTTATAATGTAATCTAATACATTGTTTGTAATTGGTTCGATTATGTTTGAGACATTTAAACTTGCATCTTTTAAAAATATTGTAATTTACTTTTAGTTGTGAAAACTAACATATTGTAATTTTTTTAGATCTGTTTCGGGTTTCAGTTTCGGGTTCGGTTATGACCAACGGTGAACAGGAAAAAGATGATTTTTACCTTAACGGGTTCCCCAACGGGGATCAGAGAAACCGCGGGGACCTGATGGGGATCCCCGACAGGGATCGGGGCGGTCACGGGAATGGTTTTAGTTATCGGTTTTGGGGACGGGGATACCAATAACCGGCCCGAACCTGACCCATTGTCATTCTTAGTTTTAAACGAGATCGAGCAAAGGAGATCGAGCATAGCAAACAGAGCAAATCGAGATACAGCGTCGATGAATTTGGATGAGGGCTAAAAAATTTGTCGGATTGGAATTTGAAATCCGTGGTATATGCAGTTGAATTGTAAAATCAATGACTTAAGGAATTTGTTGGAATTAGAAGGATTCCTTCACATCTGTTGTGGTATTTGGAATTTGGTCAAAAATTTGGACCATTCCAATTCCATAAACCAAACAGCCCATGATGCTTTTGCTAGACAAGCGATGAGCTTTCTTACCTAGCTATCTTTAGTCTTTACAATCATGTTTAAATCTAGCGTGCTGCTATTGTTTGCAGAGCAATCTCTGCTCGGATGCTTCGGTATAAGTTAACAATGAGAATAGTTCCGTATGTCCTCAAATCCTAGAATATGCGCCATTCAGTATCATATCGACATCATCTTTTGCATAAAAGTATCATCTATTTACACCAACACTCACAAAAAAATGGCGATATATATACAGACAAGGTTCTTTAAGTTAGTTTTGTGTTTCATTACTACTATTATCGACTCCAAATGCACTTGCCACATCAAACTTTAGACCTCGTCGCATCGTTCTGCTTTCATGCTCTCCATCGGCCTTTCTCATCATGGCAGCAAACTCTCCGTAATCTATGCGCCCATCCTGTAAATTTACAAGCAAAGGGATGGTAATGGAACTTATGGTTGCGTTTTCCGTTCTTCATAGAAAGGTAATGTAGCGTATGCTTACATCATCTTGATCGATTTCTTTGATCATTTCTTCTAACTGAACATCGTGTATACCAAAATCTTTGCAAGCTTGTTGAAGTTCGTCGTATGTTATATAGCCACTGTTATCTTTGTCAAAGAAGGAGAAAGCCGCAAGCATGTTCTCCTCCCTCTGCGTCTTGTTTAAGTGCAAGGTTGCTGCTAGGAATTCACCGTAATCGATTGTGCCGTTGTTGTCGGTATCAGCCTGTCGAAAATAATACAATCGTAAGTTTTGACTATAAACCTACATCCCCTACATAATATTGCTTAAACTGGTTGCGTTCACCTCAACTAATCCCATGGAGCCCTTAAGTTAACAGCCAGAAAAACCCTATGGTGGCCCTGGAGGGGCCTTCAAGCGATGACCTTTGGGTAGCAAATCTAAGGTTTTACCGGTTGAGCCACCAATCAGTATTTTAACCGACATGTTTTGAGCAATCGTGGGCGTCTGGGTGAGCTTGAGTCCATCTCGACTATCCCATGGGGAGCTTAAGTTAGTCGACAAAACCCTCCAATAATTGTAAAGAGAACTTGAATTGATGACCCTTAGGAAGCAAATCCTAGGTCTTACTAGTTGAGCTACCCTTTAGGGTTTCAATTGTCATGTTTTCGGTCATGAAAGACGATGGTCAACAAATCCCATGGGGCCTTCAAGTTAATAGTTAGAAAAAGCTCTAAAGGGGACTTCAAAGGCCTCAGTGGGGCAAAGCCTAGGTCTTACCAGTTGAGCTACTTTTAAACTAGCATGTTTTTTCAGCCGTAAAATACGATAGTCTGCATTTCACATTTGGAAAACGACGAAGGTTGTACCGCATTCATAAGTTCCATGATCTCGGATTCCATTACATTTGAACCAACTCTCTTCAACCCTTGTTTGAGTTCTTGGAATGTTATCGTTCCGCTGTTATCTGTATCAATCGTTTTAAACAATTGCTTTAGACCACCAATCTCCTCTTCTGAAAGCCTTCCCGCAATCACCTGGAAACATAACTCAAACGCATAGTTTCATTTCGTATACACAAGGGACAAGGTGCATCCACTAATTGATTTTTTTTTGTTAATCGTGGGTGTTTGGTCAACTTGGCCACACCTCGTCTAATCCCATGGGCCCTGAAGATAACAACCAAAGTGGCCTTGAGGAGACTTGAGCTAGCGAGCTATGAGAAGCTCTAAGGCTCAACCTCTATTCGGCAGCTGAGCTAACCCTCAAAACAGTGTCTTATCGTTCTTTATAACATAAAGCTACGAAAAACATACACGCATCGCCATCTTTTTAATTTTGTTCATAGCCGCGAATTGTTTTAGTCGTGATAGAATTGCAGGATCCAAAGGCTTGTCTGTAGCAACTCCATCTTCCTTGATCCATGGGTGACCTGGTATGAATTTAATCAAAAATTAACCTCCTATCAACAAAACAGACAAGTCTAATACGTGAATTCGGGACTCACATAGTATTTGATAAGCGGTTATTCGTTGCTCTGGGTTCCTATCGAGCATTGTTTTTATTAAATCTTTAGCACTTTCTGTAATGTTTGGCCATGGCATAGATTCGAAGTCAACTGTTCCATTTAAAATTTGTCTAAAGATGCCCGAATCCGTCTCTGGAAGACAAAGTACATAGAACATGTTATCATGGACTGTTGGAGTTTTATATCAGCTAGACATACTATCAAGTGTTGGAACATTCGTTTTCCATTAGGCTCTTTTAGAGATGGGTAGAATGTAACGGAGTTTGTGTTCCTATTTAATGTAACAATTAAATTTTTTCTCAAATCAATATAACATAGTTCCAAAATTTTCTATTTTCTTAATCAATTTTAACTGATAATTTGTTGATCTTGTGACATTCATCAAATGGATGTCAAGTTTCTTTTCTACTTTCTCGTAACATTTTAGTACACATTTCATAAATGAGTATCCACGTCATCAAATCTAACAAGATCATCGGTCAATATGGACATAAAATTGAACATTTCTAAACTTTAAAAAAAGATAATTTTTTGTTATACCAAACGCTTACTCGGGTAAGTGAACACCAAGTCACATTACCTTACCGGATAAATATGATAAGAACCAATAATCTTATCCGGTAAGAACGAGGCAAAGACCAAGAGTCTTACCCGATAAGTGAGTGCGACAACCCTTACCACGGTAAGGGCTTACCGGGTAAATTGTTGCATACAATAACGTTTTAGTGGACTAAAATCTTACCCAGTAAGTAATGATAATATTAAATTTTACTGAAGGTAAATATTTAGTAAACCACACATAAATTAAACCTTCTAACCAAATAGGATGCAATTATAAGCCAACCTGCCCAGAAAGGTGGACACCCAGATAATAAAATGTACAAGATAACCCCAACACTCCACACATCACTTTCAGGTCCATAATGTTTATTCAAAACTTCTGGGGCAACATAGTATGGACTTCCAACCACATCACAGAAATACTCTCCTGCAACACAAAATACCATATCAAAAATCGCATGTATACTGCTTTCAACACTTTTTCTTACCAAAAAAAGGAAGAAACCTGGTTTGTAGAAGACCGACAACCCGAAATCGATCGCTTTTAGCTGCCCGTTACTGTCGAACAAGAAATTCTCCGGTTTGAGATCTCGATGCATAACCCCAAGAGAATGACAAGCTTCCACAACCCCGACAATTGTTCTCATCAATTCCGCTGCCTGCTGCTCGCTATGTTGCCGCTTCTCCACGATCCGATCGAAAAGCTCACCGCCAGTGCACAACTCCATTACGAGATGCACAAACACATTATCCTCGTATGTGCCTTTGATCCTAACAACGGATGGATTCTCCGACAAATGGTGCATAATTTGAATCTCCCTCCATACATCATCGTAATCATCCCGGCATAAAAGCTTCCGTTTGGCTATGGATTTGCAGGCATAATCCGTGCCTGTGGATTTCTCGGTGCAACGGTATGTGATACCAAATTGTCCTTGGCCTAGCTTCTTTCCAACCGTGTAATGGTCTCTCAATCTCGGAGTTTCGTAGGGGAGGACGGAATTGAATAGTTTTTTCTTCATTGATGAATAAATCAATGGATTGAATCATTCAGGAGAGCTTTTAGAATAAGAATGATGGGAAGAGGGTAAAGGTGTTTGACAAAATGTTCAAATGACAATTGTGTGGTGATGTGAATACATCATTTGACGAGGAAGTTGCTGCCGATTGAGTTAACCTTTTTTGCACATAATTAATAGGGATCCACAATATAAAAAAATATTGGATCCTGATGCGAACCAATCAAAAATGGTTCGGTCTCACATGAACCCAACTTTATATATATATATATATATATATATATATAGAGAGAGAGAGAGAGAAAGTTGGGTTCATGTGAGACCAAGGGCATTTCGTGAGACCCGTAAGACCAGTTTATGTTCATTGATCAACTTTATAAATTAATGATCTAATGGTCTAAAGTTGTACGGTGACAATTTTGTGATTATTGAGAAATCTCGTGGCAATTTTATGATTATGAATGTTCAGATTGTAGATCTAATCCAAGAGTTGAGAATTGGTCTTACGGTCTCACGAAAAACCTTTGGTCTCACATGATCCCAAGTCTATATATATATATACACACACACACACATATATATATATATATATATATATATATATATATATATATAGAGGTTGGTTATTATACAACCCTTGACATTTGTGCAACCAATACAACCAATCTCAACCGTTCATTTCATTTGATTAATATATGATTTCATAAAAGTTTTGATTGTTTTCTAATATAAATTATTGATCATAATTAATAAACCATATTCATCTTCCAGAAATATTCAAATCATAATAAATGAACTATCATCATTTCCATAAATATCTCAATTTATTGGGTTGCATTGGTTGTACAAATGCGATGAGTTGTATTTGAAACAAACTGTACATACATACATACATACATACATACATACATACATACATACATACATACATACATACATACATACATACATACATACATACATACATACATACATACTGTCACACCCCGCCTAGGCGGAAACGCGAAGTGTGACGGAGAGGTTTGTCATAACACAATGATATGATAATAGAGAACTCACTAAATGAATACTAATCCAAGTGTCATGACGTCTCTTCCTCATCACAAGTGGAGACTTGTG